GAAGAAGGGTTGGGGTGGTTGGCTATGGTGGATGGGTGTAGGAGATGGAGGAAGAAGAAGGGTTGAGGTGGTCGGTTATGGTGGATGGGTGTAGGTGATGGAGGAAGAAGAAGGGTTGGGGTGGTTGGCTATGGTGGATGGGTGTAGGTGATGGAGGTGAAAGAAGGGTTGAGGTGGCCGACTATGGTGGATGGGTGTAGGTGGTGGAGGTGGAAGAAGGGTTGGGGTGGTCGGCTATGGTGGATGGGTGTAGGTGATGGAGGAAAAAGAAGGGTTGAGGTGGTCAGCTATGGCGGACGGGTGTAGGTGATGGAGGAAGAAGAAGGGTTGGGGTGGTTGGCTATGGTGGATGGGTGTAGGAGATGGAGGAAGAAGAAGGGTTGAGGTGGTCGGCTATGGTGGATGGGTGTAGGTGATGGAGGGAGAAGAAGGGTTGGGGTGGTTGGCTATGGCGGATGGGTGTAGGTGATGGAGGTGGAAGAAGGGTTGAGGTGGTCGGCTATGGTGGATGGGTGTAGGTGAGGGAGGTGGAAAAAGGGTTGGGGTGGTTGGCTATGGTGGATGGATGTAGGTGATGGAGGTGGAAGAAGGGTTGGGATGGTTGGCTATGGTGGATGGGTGTAGGGGATAGAGGTGGAAGAGAAGGGGAAAGGAGGGGAAGTGTGTTCGTGTTGTCCTTTGGACATCCGGTCACGAAGAGTAGTCGTGGTGGACGAGTGACGGGGATGACGAACGGCGGGAGATGTGTGCAAGTGACCTTGGCCCCGCATTGCCCCCCTTACCCGGGCGTCCGACGCATTGCTGCCCGTACCCCCTATGTCCCGGACCTAGACACAGTCCCACAGTACACAGTCTACAGTCATTATGCAGGAAACACACACTTTGCAGCACACAGTTGGCCGAAATCTGCAGAATCTGCAGATTCCGCTAGTTGTGGCAACTTACCGCTTTCGTCGTTTTCCTCGCCGTGGTGAAAATTCAGTGTGCTCAGCCCTGCGTTACCTGCCCCAAACGCTATCAGACTGATACCAAATTTGGTGGGCCCTTTCACTGTATCATAGGGAGGGCCTCCACAAAATTTGACGTTGTTCTGATGTCGTTTGGGGCAAGTTGCATGTTTCGTGTATCCGCCGGCTCCGGGCGAACTGTTCGGTGGAAGGTCGTTTTCTGATTTTTTCAGAAAACGGACTCTGATGGCCTGCTGGGTCTGCAGGCCACCTGTTCTTACCCAGAACATGAGGTCCGAGCACTCTCAGACCTCATTCCAAGTTTTCCTATAGTGTTGCTGCCGACGTGTCGTCGGCCGCATTCCGCCCGATTGCGGTCTTCACATGATTCTCGCAACGGCGGTGGTTACCCTATCTTTTCCCTGGGTCAGCAGTCTATGCTGGCCAGGTTTCGTCAGGACCGCGGTCCTACAGCTATCAGCAGAGGAAAAGCACAGCAACCATTCAAAATACCAGAGAACATCAGCCATTTGAACCTCCTACCTACCCTGTTCGAATAGAACAGGGGGGGGGGGGGGTAAGTTCAAGCGGTACCCACTCTTAGAGCAGGGAGAGAAGAACAGAAGTTTACTCAGCAGCGGCAATCAGACAATGCTGGCACCCCATACTTGTTCTAGGCACCAGGTGGCATCAAGATTAAAGCCCCGACCCGCACCCCGGGTAAGAGGACTAGTGGAAAGGGAAACATGAGCGAGGAAATCACACACACACACAGACCATATGTCACTTGAAAGGCACCGGTCACAGCAACAGGTGAGGGGGAATGAACTGAACGGAACTGCAGCACACACATACACACACACACCGCATGTCACTTGTAAAGGCACCTGTTACAGCAAAGGTGAGAAGGGGCTGAACTGAACTAATGGGACTGCAGCACATACACACACACACACCACATGTCACTTTGGAAAGGCACCGGTTACAGCAAAGGTGAGAAGGGTCTAAACTGAATTAACGGAACTGCAGCACACACACACACACACACGCACTCATGTCACTTGGAAAGGCACCGGTTACAACAAAGGTGAGAAGGGACTGAAATGAACTAACGGACCTGCAACACACACACACACACACACACACACA